GCCTCCACCCAGTCCCGGCCCCACAGCCCCGGGGGACCTGGGAACAGGAGGCCCATTGTGGGTGGCAGGGCCCGGCCGGTGGCAGGGGCTGGCCTGGCAGATTCCAGATGGCAGAGGCGGCTCCGAGAGTTCACAGGACAAGTGGGGTGAGCCCAGGCACCAGGCCTGCCGCCTCCGGGCGCGGGTGCCACACCGTCTGGCCACCTCCGTGTGTGGAGCCCGGGCCGAGGCGGGCTGGGCCGCGGGGTGGGCGGGGCGGGCACCCTGCCTCCCTCCGCTGCCCGCAGCCGGGTCACCGGGAAGGCAGCTCGGGACCAGGACAGGGTTGTTCCTCCCTCAGGGCCCCACCGTCCTCCCAAGACAATCACAGCCTTTTTGATCCCATTCCGCAGGCCCTTCCCACCACAGCGTCCCCGGCAACCCCATTCCAGGTCACCCGGGCCCAGTTCAGGCTCCTCTAAGCCGCCTCCCCTCGGGGCCTCCCCTTACGCAGCGGCTGCCTCTGTCTGGAGCCCTCCTCCCTCTGGGGAGGGCCAATTCATCCCCCGGGTCTCAGCTGGACCCTCACCTCCTCCCCACACACTGCCTCAGCGCCCCCTCGCTCCCCAACATTCACTCCCTCCAGGCTCCCGGGCTCTCCCGCCCCAGCACCCAGCACCCAGCACAGCTGTGCCTGACTCATCCCCCGCTGCTCTCATCTGCTTCACATCTGTCTTCCCCGCCGGCTGCCAGCGGCTCGGGCGCGGGGACCACATCCTCCTCCCGGGATGCATGTAGCCTTGGCCCCCAGACACAGACATGTCCGCTGGAGGAATGGGCGAGCTGCAAGGGGCCTCGTCACGTCACAGATACAGCCACTGAGGCCCTGAGGGAGGAGCGGACTTCCCAGGGCCCCTGGGGTCCGTGTGAGGAAAAAACGATGTAACAGAAACAGCTTTTGACAAGCAGGGAGTGGGTGCTCACTGTGAATCCTCGCTGACCTCAGGGGGCGGGGGAGGGACGCTATGCCTGTTCTCAGAGGCCCCAGGGGTAAGTCAGGCTCCTGAAGATGGCAGAACCTGCCGGATTGTGATTCGGTGATCCTGGGCCCGAGGGCAGAACAATCACGCCCCTCTGAGAGCAAGTTCAGACTTTTTCTGAACAACACAGAATTATTGGTTTGTTTGGGGGTTTTTAATCCTACCCGGATGATATATGTTTATTGATTTTAGAGAGCGAGACAGGGAGGTAGAGATCGAGAGAGGAAGTGAGAGAGAGAGAGAGAGAGAGAGAGCGAGCGTGCACAAAATATCAATGTGAGATCAACATAGACCAGTTGCCTCCTGTATGCACACCAACTGGGGATCAAACCCACAACCTAGGCATGTGCCCTGACTGGGAATCGAACCCAAAACCTTTTGGTGTATAGGACGACGCTCCAACGAACAGAGCCCTCTGACCAGGGCAGCACAGAATTTTTTTCATCAAGTTAGAAGGTTTAAAAAAAGAGAGAGAGAAGGAGAAAAAAAAAAAAAAAGGAAGGAGGTTAAGGGTAGCAACACAGTGGTTTCTTACAAGCCTGGAAGGGAAAGAGAATAGCTCGTAGAGCAGGGGTGCCATAACACACTCAGCCAGTAGGTGTCACCACTCAACATCTAACCCAGGCGATGCCACACACACACCCACACACACACCCGCTCACCGTTGTTGCAGTGCCGGATGCAGTCCTGCAGCACCGCCTGCCACTTCTCCTGCTCCGCCTCCGTCATCATGCAGAAGTAGTAGTGCCGTGCGGAGGGGTGCCAGAGGATGAGCGGGAACTGCGTGGGGCACTTCAGGATGGGGGCAGCGCCCGACTTGGGTGTGACCCCTGTGGAAACAGCCCTCTGAGCAGCTGCCCTCCGCGAGCTCCAGGCTGAGGGTCACCTCGAGCCCAGGGAGGGTGGGCCTGTCCCGGGGAGGCAGCCTCCTTTCTCGCTGCATCCTCCACGGTGTGGCTACAGGGGCCCCGGCGTCGGTGTAGAGTAAGGTGACCAGACGTCCCGCTTTTGGCGGGACAGTCTCGATTTTTTAACAATTTGCCCCTCGTCCTGAGGCGTTAAAAAAAAAATGTCCCGATTTTTGGAAATATTCTTTCCAAAAATTGGGACTTTTTTTTTAAAAAAATGCCGTGGGACGCGGGACAAATTGTTAAAAATCGGGACTGTCCGGCCAAAAATCGGGACGTCTGGTCAGCTTAGTGCAGGCCCGTTTCTGAGAGCTGGTGGTGCAGCCGTCCACCCGCTCCGCTCCGGGGGAAGGTCTGAGCTCCCTGTGGGAGGCACAGATAACACGGGGTCAGAGCCCTCGGGTTCAAAGGCCGAGCATTACCTTCTAGGGTTTCCCGTCAAATGTTAGGCTCGGAGGCCAAGGGGTGGCTTAAATGTCCAGGGGGGAAGGGAGGCCTGGGGGCGGGGGATAGAACGAATAAAAAGGCATTTTTTTCTCCCTATTTTGTCCGCATGGATATGTGAGATCCAGGGAGATAAGTGGTCCTGGGCTGTGACCTCACCCCTGTTAATAACGAAACAATGATGGTTCTTCTTGGTGCCCTGGCTCCGTCTGTGCCCCGGTGCTGGGCGCGGCACACACAGACCTCCTGGGTCCACACGGGACCCCGAGGTCAGGCCTCTCGGTGCTGCGTGGCCCAAAAAGACAGCAAAAACAGAACCAGAGTGTGGGTTGGGATCCAGGAACACTCACTCCAGCTGAGCTCTCAGCCACGGGGCGCTGTAGCCCCAAGTCCCATGTAGGGGCCTAAGCTGCCTCCCAGGCCAGCATCCTCCTCTCTTTAGTTCTCTGGGATCAGCTGAGAGGCAGGCGCACCCCTGTAGGGCTTCTGGGGGTCTGTGACAAGGTGGGGTGCACAGGACTCGGAGAAGAACTTCTCAAAAACGCAGTATTAACTCGGCAGTTTACAAAGCAGGATCACCCCGATCATCTTCTCCTGGAGTCTGCCAAGGACTCAGGAAGAGGAAGGAGAGACAGTGAGGTCCCCCCCGTGCACAGCTGTGATCACAAGCCCCAGGAAGCAGGGGACTCGGGCCCAGCCTGGACTCACTGGGTGGCCTCGGGCCTCCTCTCTTGGGACTCAGTTGCTGCTGGGCACCTGCCCGCAGCTCCAGGCCCAGCAGGTCTTTCTGCAAACGTGGAGCCTGAAGCCCCGGATCAGGGCTGCCCTCTCCCTGGGCCCAATCCCTGGGCCCGTGCAGGGCATTCCGGCCCGGGATGGGTGCTCCGTTACCTGGTAAGGAATTGCCAACCAGCTCCAGGTACTGGTCCACGGAGGTGAGGATCTTGTAGCCCGCACTGTTGATGACGGCTCGGGGTGGCACCTGCCGCTCATAGGCCTGAGGGGAGGGCAGGAGAGACGGTCCCTGAGAATTGCAGGTAACGCCCAAGCCCATCCCACCTCCAGCTCTGACTCCGGGACCTTCCTCAGTGTGGCTGCCCAAGGCGGGAGGAGAAGAGGGGGAGGAAGAACGGGAGGAGGAAGAGACACACAGGAGTCTAACCAACCCAGTGACGAGGGTCAACATGGTACAGTGACCTGAACCCAGGCTCTGGGCTCAAATCCTGGCACCACCGAGTGCTGTCTGTAGGTGCTGAAGATTAGGCTGCTCCCCTCCCATGCCTCAGGGTCTTCCTCCATGAAGGCAGGATAGCAATGACCCCGCCTCCCCCCGCCCCAGGGCATCCACATAAAACGATTAGCACAGAGCCCGGCACAGCGGGGACGTGAGCAGGCTGAGGTGACTATCGTTACTGCGGCCGCTGCCTCTGTTGTCAGCAGGTACCACCAGCCGAGGGTTCACTGCCCGCCAGGCCCTGTGCTCCGGGCACCGCCTGCTTCCTTTCACAGACTCGCACAATCCAACAGATGGGCGCCATGATTAGCCACAAGTTCACACGGCTGGTCCGTGGGGGCCTAGGACAGGAACCTGGGCTGTCAGCCTCCGGAGCCCAGGGTGTCTGACCATCTCCCTGAACTGTCCCCCGAGCCCTGGGCACCGGAGAACAGGGGTTCTGCTGCAGGAAGCAGCTCATACAGCAGGGCTGCCACGCCACCCCCTGCCACTAGGTGTCAGTACGCAGCACATTTCTTGAGAGGAGCTCAAACCTGGGAGGCCAGGAGCGTGGGGGCAGGGGGTGAAGGGGGGCCCTGGTTACTGGCCAAGTGTGGTCCAGACCTGAGAACTGGCTAGAAATGCACTTTGAGAGAGATTCCAGGCCTGGGTCAAACGGGGGCAGGCCCTGCAACCTGTGTGTGTGTGTTTTTTTTAAACAAGCCTTCCAGGTCATTCCAGGAATTCTACCCATTGGTGACCCACTGCCCTGCGGCAACAGGTTGCTCCTGACCCTGCTTTGCCCGCACAGGGGTCCCGCCTGTCCTGGCTGCTCTGGAGACGTGTCTGTGGCTCAGCCAGGCGGGGCTTCGGCCAGGACCCAAGGCAAAGAGAGGGACACTCGGAAGGATCTCCCTCCCTCCCGCTGCAGGGCTGCAGGGCTGCAGGGCTGCAGGGCTGCAGGGCAGGGAGATGCAGGGGATAACCGGGAAGGGAAAGATAAGACCACCACCCAGGGAGAGGCTGTGGCAGGGCAAGGCTGGGAGTGGCCGGAGGAGCTGAGCGGCGGGAAGCCCAGGCTGAGGTGGAGGCAGCTGAGATGGAGGCGGCCCTGGAAATGGGGGTTTGGAAGGAGGTGAGAGATTCGGAGGGAAGCGTAGGAGCCAGTGAGCCAGCTGTGGGGTATCCCGAGCTGGATGCCTGGACGGACGGAAGTTAGAGGGGACCCTATGGGGAGGTGGGAAGAGGGGAGGTGGGGTGGAGGGAGGCTGAGGTCCTGCTTTGGCCCTGGTGACGGGACGGGGGAGGCCGCGGGCAGGTGAGGGTGGCGGTCTGGAGGCTCAGATTTGGGGGTAGGGGGCTTGCATGGAGGAGGACAGCTGGGGAGGTCAGGGGCCCAGGAGAAGGGGGAGAAGACCCGGCTGGGGCTGGAGGGGAGCTGGGGCTGCGTGCGGGCACCGGGCACCGGGGGAGAGCGCGGCCTCACCGCTTTGTTCTCGTAGAGGACCAGCCCGTAGTTGTGGGGCACGAGGCTGAAGCGGTTCCTCCACTTCTTGCTGTCCTCCTGGCACTGGAAGAGGTTCCCCGAGAAGACGATGCGCTCGTCCAGCGGCACCTGCGGGGGGCGGGGCGGCGGGTGAGGCGGGCGAGGCGAGGGTCCTTCTGGTCCGTGAAGGCCCCCAGGCAGGGCTGCGTCCAGCCCGCGGGGCAAACGAGGAAAGTGAGGCTCAGGGCAGGGCGGGGTCCGGGAGGCATAATGGCAACGCCAGGACTCGAACCCAGGCCACACAGCACAGGTCAGAACCCAGGGAGGACCCCACGCTGGCCTGGCCCTGGCAGACCTGGCTCCTCAGGAGGGGTCTGGGTTCCTCCGCCAGGCAGTCACCCCGCAGAGGGGACACCCCCCCGGCCAGGCCAGGCCGGCGAAGGGCCCAGTGCCTGGGCAAGTCTCTTCCCAGCTCTGGGCCTTTGTTTGTCCTCCAGGCAACAAACACGTGGCCAAGGTGGCTCCAGAGAGCCTCCCCACCGGAAGCTGATGGGACGGCCTCCATGGATCTGGGTTGGGGTGCAGGGGACCCCATTCTGGAGGGCTCGACGTCTGACCGGCATCCTGACAGGTGACCAGCGTGAGCGGCAGAAACGCCCAAACCTGCCTGCAAAGCCCTAACTTCAACGCTGACCGTGACCCGGAGTGACCTCAGGCCTGTCACATGACCGCGTGGAGCCTCAGCTTGCTCTTCTGTGAAATGGGACGGTGACAGCACTGACTTCCTCTCGGACTCGGAGGTGACCTGTGCAGGTCACACGGCAGCCTGCACCTGCTGGCACCGGGCGGGTCTGCGCACAGCTCACAGTACACGTGTGACACTGCTGGGATTCCTCCCTCTGCGTCAGTGTCCCAGCCAAGACTGACTTCTGGCCCCCGTGACAGAGTGCGTCCGGAGCAGACCAGCGCCCGGAAGTGTCGCCCAGAAGTTTCGGGAAAGGAGACACAGGCCACCAGGAAGCAGGCTCACTCCTGGCGGGGAGGAGCTTTCTGGGCAGCTTCTACCTGTTCCACGAACATGGTGCCCTTTGGGCCGGAGAAACATGGGCCAGATGGAATCATGGGAGAAGCCTTATTTCAGGGTGCCTGGCCCCTCGCTTCCCGGCTCTGCCTCGGGTGGCCCTGCAGCTGCAGCCGGGGTGAGGGCCCCCCCAAGCCGCCCCCAGGCCCCTTCTTCACACCCAGCTCCACAGCAGCCCCCTCTTCCCAGCAGCCTCCCTGCCGCTCTTCAAGGGGAAATGCCAAAACACCCTTGGAAAAGGAGGGCCCATTGTGCTTGAACAATAGGACCCTGAGCACTGCTTCCTACCCAGGGATAAAAATATTCACAGGAAAAGAAAAAGATTCCCCCTGCCCACCACCCCACACGCGGCTCTGCCCAGTCACAGGCTGCTGGCCAGCGGGCTGTTTAGACCAGAGCCACCCTCATCCCACCTCCCAAACCAGGTCTTCCAGAAGGAGAGCCGGGAGCCCTCGGACACCCTGCTGAGACCCTGCAGGCCCCAGGCCTCCGCTCAGGACAGGAGCAGGACTCAGGGGCAGTGGGAGGCTGTGGCAGTTGGGTAGGGTGACCAGACGTCCCGATTTTTAATGATTTGTCCCGCGTCCCGCGGTGTTTTACAAAAATCGGGACTTTTTAAAAATGCCGCTGGACGCGGGGCAAATTGTTAAAGGGCAGGACGTCTGGTCACCTTACAGTTGGGGCTCAGCAACCCGCCCTCACCCCCACCCCCACCCCCACCCCTCAAGTCCACCCCCAGATCCCAGGCAGCCAAGAACGGGTGGTTGGTTGGTTGTGGGTTTGGGTTTTATTTTTACGACTTTCAAATGGCAGCGGCGTGTTTCCATTGGAAGGTCCGCAGGAAACGAAACAGAACCGGCTGCCCAGGCAAAATATTTGGGATTCTGCAAAGCTCCCCAATGCCACGGTGGGACTCTTCGGGGGTGCTGAGTGGTCAGCGCAGAGACTCTTTCCAACAGACCCAGTTCCAGCCCCAGCCCCTGCCCCACCGCCCACGCCGGGGCAGCCTGCACCCACCACGGCACCTCCCCACGCCTCAGCCTCCGCAGCTGGACGCACCTGCCCCCTTAACACACCTGCCACTGTTTTATTATGCTGCTTTTATTATTCCTATTTTATTATTAGCTTATTATTGTTTCTTATAAGGACTGTGAACGAAAGGAGCCACATGCTAAGCTGACAAGCTCCGGGGAGGCCTGCGTGGCAGTCTTGCAAACTCAGAGACCTAAAATAACCACAAAAGATGGTCTGAAAATTAAATATTTTAACTACACACAGGTTATAGTGGGTAGTCAAGTCCCAGGCCGATATTTCCCCTGACAAAGATCAACTTAGATATTCTTCACGGAGCCCATTTGCCTTTTGCCTCTAAGATAACACAGATGTCTGGTTAACTTGTAACTTCCCTTTTTCTGGAGCCCCTGGGCACAACCAAATGTGGTGGGCGCCAGGACGGATGCCTCAAATTCCTTCATTATCTTGTTAAGTACACGTCCTTCATTTTACTTCTTATCCAATCCCAGGGGTTTCCCACTGCTTTGCTTCCTCCCGCCTCTTTAATCCATCACCAATACATGAATCTCATGTAACCCACCTATGTCCCTTCTTTGATTGCAATGTGTAAGTAGAAATGTAACCCACCATTCTTCAGAGCATTATCTCAATTTATTGAGGTTCTGCCCAGCGTATGTCGACTGTTTGGCTCAAATAAATTCACTAAAATTCTTTACAGGTTTCAATGTTTTTTTTTGTTAACAGAACAATGTGATGATGATGCCGACGACGACGATTAATACTGTTATTTCTATCCCTGTAACATCACTATCACGACTTCACATCCTGATGGCCAACTTCCTGAGTGACAAAATGCTTCCCAGGGATTGTGGATGGTTCCTTTTACTCTTCCTGCTTCCGGGTTAATTCCGTTTTCCTACAGAGACTCTGCCCCGGTGAGTGCCGAGGGCACCGCTCACTCAGAGTAAACGCTGGTGCTGTCTGCCAGCCCCCACTTCCGTCCTCAGTTATTGGGACCTGGATCCCCGGGACATTTCTTTCCAAACAGGGGCCATTCCAGCTCTGCCCATGCGGAGTAGCTCACCTGCCTCCTTTCCCGTCACCCAGGCGTGCACCTGCCCGACCCCCAGGCCCCGCTGGGCGCCTATGCCCTTGTTGTCAGATCAGAGGTTGCCATGACGCCAGGAGAACAGCCCTGGCTGGTTCCAAAGTCAAAGGCACGTGGGATGCTCTGACACACAGTCCTGACCTCCCCTCCGGCCCCTCCAGGCTGGGCGACGAGGCAGAAAGAGAGCCCTAAGCCCGGAACTGGAACCTGGCTCAGAGTCCCGCCTCCGCCATCCTGGGCAAGCCATTCGACGGCTCACTCTGGGCCTTTGCAGGTGCCAGTGCCTGATATTCTTTTTCCCATCAGGTCCTCGGCTGAGGCCAGGCCCCACTGTCTGGGTTCACCCTGTGGTGGCACCCCCTTGCCTGAGTGACAGCTGGTGACTGTCTCCCGGAGTGTTTGTCAATGACTCCGGGGCCAGCCAGGGCAGCGCGGCCCAGCCTCTGACCTGACAGCAGGTGTGCCCGGGCAAGGGGCCTGCCGGTCCCTCTCAGGTAATCAATCCCTAGTCCCAGCCGCGCTCCCAGCCCGAGCTAATGCCTCCAGCTGTTCCTCCGGCCGAGAAGACACCAGAGAGCCATGACTCCCGAAGGCCAGGCTGGTGACACCAGCTCCTACCCCACTGGCCTCAGGGTAGACGGGCACAATTCTCAGTCCCTCGTTTGGGGAGGTCGGGGAATGGAATGAAATAAAATAAAAATCCCGGTGTCAGGCCTTCCGAACCTTTTCTGTCTGCTCTGCTGCCTCCCCTGCCCCCACACCACCCCAATGCCTGTATCCATGCCTAAGCCCCATGAAATCCCACCCCCCACGAAGCTGCCCTGGGTCCTCCGGCCCGTGACTCCTCTGTCTGAATGCCATTTCACAGACAGACAAACCGAGGCTCAGCAGGTGAAGCCCCGTGTCTGAGGTCACCCAGCAGGACAAGACTCACACCCCCTTAGGAACCCCACTGCCCCCGCGTCTGTCCTCTGAATCCTCACTCAGCCCCTCGCAGGAGGAACCCACAGTCCGATGAGAAGACTGGACCTTCGCGGTGGAACCAAGAGAATTTGAACCCAGGTCCTCCCGAGTTCTTTCCCACCAGACCTCGGGGTTCAGTCTCCACCCCTTTTCTGTGACAGTGGCCCCCGCACCTCCAAAGGGGCTTCCAGTCCCTCGCTGGACAAACACGTCCCGGACAAACGGAACCCCACAGCTAGCGGGAGCCGGGGATGACAATAGTGTCGGCCAGCGCCATCAAACACTGGCCCTGCTCCAGGCACCCGCTGACTCGGATCTTTAGCCCTCACAGCATCCTGTGCAGGAGGCGTGCTGATCCCATTTTACAGAGGCGTAAACTGAGGACCCAGGAAGTGAGGTCGTCGGAGAAGGATCTGGCTGGACCCCAGGCCTGTCTGTGCAGGAGGGGCAGCGCTGGGGGAGTCCCCCACAGTGACCAAGGGGCCTGGACCCCACCTCCTGCTCATCAGCCCCTCATGGCGGCCACGGGCGGCTGAGGCCCAGAGAAGCAGCCCCTTGCTTGAGGCCACGTGGTGAGCGATGTCAGAGCTCCCCTTACCTCCCCCCCCCCACCCACGGCAGCTGGGGCCTCACCTTCCGAGAGAGCAGCTGGGCCTGCGGGCCCCCGGGGGCCTCGATCTCGTGGCGCATGCTGTTGAAGAGGGCGACCCCGTACTGGTCCTCATAATAGCGGAGGAACTCCGTCAGGATCTTGCCCGTTTTCTCTGAAAGGGAAGGACGACAGGAACATGAGGTCATCACAGTTCCTTGCATACAGCAGCGACTCTGCCCCAGGGAGGGGCGTCCACACCCCCAAATTCCTGCCTGTGAAACTGTTTGCTTTCCCCGGGCAGAAGTGAGTGCTTCCTGCCCACACCCGGGGACACCTCCGAGCAGAGAAACGGTCGGGCAGTGACCCAAGACAGAGACGGGGCGAGGAAGCCAGAGACGAGATTCTCGAAAAGACACTCAGCCTCTGTGGTCGTCGAACAAATGCAGCCAGAACCAGCACTCGGGGTTCCCCGTCAGACCAGAATGCCGGGGACAGGCCCCTGGCCGGGCTGGGGTGCTGGAAGTGGGACGGCCTTTTGGAGGTGGCTGGCAGCCGGGGCACAGGATAAGGCAGTGAGAAGACGGGGGAGGGTCTACAGGTCTGAGCATCAGCCACGGGGAGCAGTCCCCACTCCGTCACGGAGAGCAGAGCGAGCACAGGGCACGTGGAAGCTGGCCCTGTCTGTGCGCGGGAGCCGCCCGGAGGTTCGAGGGAGAGGCCGGGAGGCCACCGCAGACGGTGGCCCGGGACCGCGGGGTGTGGGAACGAGGAGGGCAGAGTCCACTCCACCGTCTGCTTTATTCACGTTTATAGCGTTTAATTAGCTTACGCACATGATTCTTTTCACAATAAAAAAAAAATTATTCCCGAAGTGACTCATCTACCAAGGTAACAGCCTTTTGCTCGCACCGGTGGTTGGCTTCTCTCTTCTGCTGAAGCGGCTTCTGAACGGATAAAGTGAGACCTGTGGCCCCGGGCTGGCCGGGCACCCGTTAGACACTCGGTATTTGCCCTGTCAGTGCATCCCTCTGGACAGATGGAGAAACTGAGGCCAGAAAGGCCTTCTCCTTGGGAAAGACTTCCTGGTGCTGAGTCCCGACCAGGGGCATGTGCGCTGGCCCACTGTACCTTCTGGGCCTCAGTTTCCCCCTGCACACTCAGAGGCTGGACTCAATCACTATAGGCCCTGCTAACCTCTGGCAGCCTCGGATTCCTTTTCTTAAAGGAAAAGAGGCTGAGGTGACCCTGTCCCTCTCCTGGCTGGTCTCTGGGGCCAGCGGGCACCCGGCTAGGACAAGAGTTCACGTAACCCTCTCCATAGCTCTGGGGGGTAGAACTGGGTCACACCATTTTACTTTATTATTTTTTAAAATATATTTTTATTGACATTTTTATTGATCAGAGAGGAAGGGAAAGGGAGAAAGAAATGGAAACATCAATGATGAAAGAGAATCACTGGTCAGCTGCTACACTGGGGACCGAGCCGGCAACCTGGGCATGTGCCCTGGCCAGGAATCAAGCCATGACCTCCTTCCTGGTTCATGGTTGACACTCAACCACTGAGCCACAGGGGCTGGGCGGGTCACCCCATTTTACAGAGGAGGAAACTGAGACGCAGACAGTTTAAGTCTTTGGCACAAGGTCATACAGCTAGTGGGCTGCGTAGCTGGGATGTAATCCTGGGGCCCAGCAAGGAGGAGGGGTCAGAGAGGAGGCTAAAAGCATGTGCCACCTGAGGTCTCAGGCAAGCCACGCCCTCCACGCTGGAGGGAGCTCAGCCCGTGGAGCCCTGTCCCCTCCCTGGGTGAGATCCTGTCTGTCCACGTTCTGTTTTGGGGGAGCACCAGGAGAACGGATGAGGAATGGCTCTGAATGCCTATTTTCTGAAACCATAAACAACCAGAGCTCTCTCAAAGACCATGGGAATAGTTTTGAAAAAGGAGGCAGGACGGGGGGAGGGGGGGCGTGAGGGTGAGGTGGGGGGAGACATGGGTAATGAACTGGGGCCAAACTGAGAAAATGGGATCCTAGACGACTCTCGTGTTGATAAATCCTGTAATCGCCATCATAACCGTTACCAGTGATTGTTAACCCGAGCCGCTGGGGGTGGGGGTGGGCACGTTTTACAGGCGCGACCCCAAAGAACCTTCCGGAAGAGCCCAGGGAGTCAGCACTATTATTTCTCCGTTTTATGATGAGGAGGCTCCTGGCGCCAGAACGGGAGAGCCATCAGCCCACACAGCCTCGGTCTGGGGTTTGCCCCCCGTCCCCCAGCAGCCTGGCTCCCACGGGCACGTTCCCAGGTGCAGGATGGGTAGGGTCCCTCAGCCATGTCCTCGGGAGTGTGGCCCAGCCTGGTGCACCCAGCCTCAAACAGCATCATTTCTAGAAGCGTCGGGATCCGCCCTGACCTCGGGGAGCCAGGTCCAGGGGGAAGCTGGACCCAGGTCCCAGCTCCCGGTCAGCTAAGGCCAGAAACCGTCCCGGCAGCGCGCAGAGGGCCGGCCGGGGAGACGTGCAGGAAGGGCCGGCCAGCCAGGTGAAGGCCGGCATCCCCCACGTCCTGGAGCCCACGTGGCTGGGGCTGAGGGCCGGAGAGGAAGCTGGCAGAGGCCGAGGAAATGACAGCCCGGAGGAGGTGACCCAGACAGAGCCAGGAGGCGAAGTGAGGCGGCAGACCTGAAACATCCGGCCGAGAGCGGCCAGGGCGAGCCGGGCGGCCAGGATGAGGTCCATTTTAAACCTCCATGTTGTCCAAGGGCGGGGGGCGGGGGCAAGGGAGGCCGGGAGTGAAGGGCAAGAGGCCGGGGGAGAGGGGAGCCGACACCAGGCAGAGGGTGGAGAGAGGAAAGGTACCAGCACTACCCCGGAGGCCTCACTCACCGGAGCAGGAAAAGAGGAGGCAGCCCGGCCCCCACACCCCACCCCCGCATCACAGACGTGCCTCACTACCCGAGCTCAAGACAATCTGCCTTGTTTTTATTCTTACTTTATCTTCTTGACCTGCCTCTTTTTTAGGTAAACCCTCTGCTGCCTAAAATTCTAGAACCCAACAGATGAAAGAGCGTGGGGTCTCTCAGGCCCCAGCCTTGCCCTCCCAACCCCGGAGCCAAGTGGCTGGGGATGTGCGAAAGGTGTCTACAGATTGGCTGCAAACCCTGCGGGTGGGCTTTTGACGGCCCCTGTGGCTGGCACAGCAGGTGCTGAGGGAGGGGAGTCCATCCCCCAAATGGCTCCTGAGGGCCTGCTCTGGACCAGGCCCCACAGGACGGGCAAAGGCTGGGTAAGGGGTGGTGGCAGGGGCATTCCCCAGGGGGATAAGGACTAAGAGGTGGCATCGCTAGGAAGCTGGGCGCTCGCCCGAGTTAGGCAGCAAAGGGAGCGCTGGGAAGGGGACACTGTGGGGGTGACTGTGGTTTCTTGGTAGAGGTAGCCCCAAGCACATCCTTGAGAAATGTCCTCAAACAGCTTGGGAGGAACTGCCCGGGCTTGATACAAAGGAAGTGCCACCGGAAGGCCGAGGATGAGGACCACAAACCTCAGAGAGGCAGGGGAGGGGAGGGGGCCCAGCCCCTCCACGGACAAACTGCTGGCAGGGGACACGCCCTGGACAGGGTCTCCCTCTCTGGCCAAATGCTGCTGGAGGAGGAGGACCCTGCCAGCCCGCTCCCTACAAATGCTACTCTGCGCCCCACTTTCCTCTCCTGCCTCCCTGCAGGGGTTGGCTGTCTCCCTGGGGCTGCCACGGGGATGTTACGACTTGAATTCCCACTGTGGGTGTCTGGGGTGGTCCCCGAGGCCTCGGGCGCCCCTCTCCCTCCTCCCCACCTGCCACACCAGCTCTTCTCACTTCCCCCCAGAGCCTCCGGAGACACCACACTCCATGGATTCGGGAACTCCAAGACCAAGGCTCACAACCACGAAGGGGACTCAGCCAAAGAGGGTGCGGGGCTCCCCTGAGGTCACGCAGCCAGACTGAGGCCTCCTCCTGCCCCTGGCTCTGACCACTGCTCCCAGGGCTCCACAGAGCACCCGCCCTGCGCCCAGGAGCTGAGACCCAGGCTAGCTGTAGGGGGCCGGTTGCTGCTGGGAGCTACAGAGAGGCCGGGGCAGAGACGTCTGAGGGTGTGTGCGGGCTTCGGCTACCTTCCACATTCTCTCACCCACTCCCCCTCCTCCTGGCACTGACTCAGCCCCAAGTGCTGTAGCGGAGAAGGCGGTGGGACGGAGAGAGCTTGCCCTCCAGCCTCAGGCTCCCAGCTTCCTGGTGAGGAGCACAGGGGTCCCAGTTCCGCCAGACCCCAGGCCTGCAGCAGCCTAGCTCTCTCAGAGCCTCAAGCACCTCATCTGTAAAATGGGCCCAACAGAATCCATTCACAGTGCTCCGCAGGTCAAGGATAGGCCTTGAAGCACTCAGTTCAGACCTCCTTAAATGTGACTTTTAATCATAACAGTTCTCAGCCTGTAACAACAATGTAAGAGACCAACATTCCTATTGGCAGGTGTAACTTTTATCGTTTGAAAAAAATCCAATAAAAACTTGTTTTTAAACAAGAACCAGGAAAGTAATCACAAAATAATGATGATGATAAAGGTGGGCAAGTCTTCAACAGACAAGGCGAGCCCATGAGGCGAGGGGGTGGGAAGGGCAGGCCAGGTGTGTGCGTGGAGCACCCCGAAACCCAGGCTCCCACTCGGCCTCGGCGGGGTCCCTCGGTGTAAGCTCTCCCTGTGCAGGTGTGTGAACCGAGTCAGAAAGCTCAGTGGCTCAGGAAGGGCCATTTCTCTCTGTCAGCCAACAACCCAGTGTGCCCTCCATGGCTGTCACAGGAAGGGCCCAGCTGACTCGCTCAGCAGCCAGGAGCTCTGGGGGAGAGGGGGGCTCTGAGTTCCCCACTGTGATCAACTTCACCTGCCCACCCAGGGCCCCCATCTCCACGTCATGTCTGCAATACAAGGGTGGTGGGCTCCAAAGAGGATACTTCCCAGGACACGGGGGCCAGAGCAACAGACTCACACACTAACACACACACACACTCTGTTACATACACACTCACACAGACATACACTCACACACACCTACTAACTGTGTCATACTCACACACACAATCACTCACATAAACACACACACAATTACACAGTCACACACACTCACACACTCACACACACACA